TCTTACCCACAGCCTCTAACACGGAAGCTGCGTGGAGTAGGAATTTTCCCAGCGCTGGAAGCCGTGGGTGAAGCTGCAATAGCATGTCGTGCGTGTTAGCAATTGTTTAGTAGCAGTTTTCAATGATGGCCACTTTCAAAGGACAACAGCACAAGAAATCAAGAAATACATACACTCTGCGAGGACACTTCACAAAGCTCATGGAAAACTAGAATTCCAAGTATAAATGTATTTCAGTGCAAAAAACAGTTTTGAAATCATGCCTGGCTGTTTCCTAATACACATGTTACACGTGTTGGGCACCCAGATAAAAGACGGGTAGCTTCCTTTTTCCACGACCGTTTTGTAATATCCTCAGATATGTACGGACATATGACTGCATTCTGGCACACAGATTTTGTAAATAATTTATGTCTATGTAAAATTGTACCTACATTTTATTTCCACTTTGGTAAAGATGATGCTAATCCTTACAAAGTGGTACGTCACTAGAAACCCAGGCCCTGGTGTTATCTGCCTCCAGACAGGAGCCAGCCACATGCGAAGTCTTAGCTCTCTCACTTCCATCCTCAGCTCTGCTGGGCTCTTTGGCTCCTACGTGATCCACAGATGATTTTCTTTTGTGGCTTGCTTGTGGGAATATTGCGTGTTTCCATTCTTAGGTTATCCTGTGATTTTGTGCCCCGTACCTTGTTTACCTATGACTGCTAAGGTACTTTCGCGTTGCTGTGTGTCTGTAAATATCACTAAAGATTAACCACCTGTATATCTAAGTTGGGTCAGGTCAGCTAACATTTGTCAGCCAAGGGCTGTTGGGCACAGAGGAGTGAAGCCACACTTTTACACTTTTAAACCTTGCATTTCAGAAAATGGAATTTTTTTTTTTATTTTTTTTGCTGGCTTGTGGAAAAGGTTGTCCCCTCTTTGGCCTTATTTTTTTTTATTTTTTTTTTTTTTCGGCATGGTAAATACAGAGCTTGAGCAATACTGAGCCGGCCAGGCTCCCTCTGAGGTTGGCACTGAGGCTTAGGAAGATGTTCCATGAGTTCAGGTCAACCATTTATGGTAATCTGGGTCGTGTACTCACGTATCACATTGCGTATTAATACTCTGTACATTTTTCCAAGGATTAGGGTAAGAAATCAAGCAGGGTCACAAGTCATTCCTGATGTGATTGCTACAGCTTTTCTGCTGATAACAGATGAAGAGGTAATGGGGAAGCTTGGTGGGAAAGAGAAGTGTAAATAGTTTATATAAATGTGGAGGTACTTCAAAAAGTTCTTGAAAGAGTGGGGTTAAAAGGTAAGTTTAGGGCTCAGCACTCCAGCGTATTGAGAAAAGCCACCACTTGGGAAATTCATGTCCCATATCAGAGTGCCTAATTCCAGGGCTGGCTCTTTCCAGTTCTTCCAATCCAGCTCTTTACTCACACACCTGGGAAGGCACTAGATGATGGCCCAAGTATTTGGGTCTCTGCACCCATGTGGGACACCCAGATGAAGTTCCAGACTCCTGTCTTTGGGCTGGCCCAGCTCCAGCTGTTGCTGGCACTTGGGGAGTGAACCAATGCATGGAAGACAGCACACTCTTTCTGTCTTTCAAATCAACTACTTATTCATTTATTTTAAAGATTTATTTATTTATTTCAAAGAGTTACAGAGAGAGAGAAGGAGAGGCAGAGAGAGTGAGAGAGAGATCTTCCATCCGCTGGTTCACTCCCCAATTGGCTGCAATGGCCGGAGCTGCGCCGATCCAAAACCAGGAGCCAGGAGCTTCTTCTGGGTCTCCCACGTGGGTGCAGGGGCCCAAAGACTTGGGCCATCTTCTACTGCTATCCCAGGCCATAGCAGAAAGCTGGATCAGAAGAGGAGCAGCCGGAACTGGAACCGGTGCCCATATGGGATGCCGGCATTTCAAGCTAGGGTGTTAACCCTCTGCTCCACAGAGATGGCCCCACAATTTACTTTATATATATATATATATATATATATTATTTTATTTTATGAACATAAATTTCCAAAGTACAGCTTATGAATTACAATACCTTCCCCACCCCCCATAACTTCCCTCCTACCGACAACACTCCCCTCTCCCACCCCCTCTCCTCTTCCATTCACATCAAGATTAATTTTCAATTATCTTTATATACAGAAGATCAATTTAACATATATTAAGTAAAGATTTCAACGGTTTGCACCCACACAGAAACACAAAGTGTAAAATACTATTTGAGTACTAGTTATAACATTAAACACTTAAGAGTAATTGTGTGTTAATTACAGAGTTCAACCAATAGTTTTAAGTAGAACATAAAAAATACTAAAAGGGTAAAGTATTAAGTTCTTTTTTTTGTTTGGTATATAGTTTTTTTTTTATTTAATAAATGTGAATTTACAAAGTACAACTTTTGTATTGTTGTGGCTCCCCCCCCAACCTCCCTCCCTCCTGTGGCCTTCCCTTCTCCCACTCCCCCTCCCATCCCGCCCTTCGTCGAGTTTCATTTTCAATTACCTTCATATACTGAAGATCAACTTAGTATTTACTAAGCAAGGATTTCAACAGGCTGCACCCACACAACCGCACAAGGTATAGGGTATTGTTCGACTACTAGTGTTGTTTTTAAGTTTCATAGTAGAACACATTAAGGACAGAGATCCTACGTGGGGAGCATGTACCCAGTGACTCCTGTTGTTGATTTAACAATTGGCACTCTTCACAATTTACTTTTAAATTAAAAAATAAAAAGTAAGTTTATTTTACTGCAAAATTCTTGAAAGCCATGCATAGTTTTTACATAAGATGTGTTTCCATGAACTTTTTGAAGACCCCTTTCATATGAATGCAGTTGCTGTTTTTTTCATTTTTGTGGAAGAAAGTAGCTCACCAGGTAGCTAACGCTAATGTCTATCTTTGAGAGCTAGAAAGGAAATCTGTGTTTTTTTGTTTCTTTTTTTTGTTTCTTTTTTTTTTTTTTTTTTCTGGCTGGTTTATCATTTGCTGCTCTTTGGTTATTACAACCTGCCCTACAATAGTTTTTAGAGACTCGATTTATTTCTCCTAATCAGAAATCTGTGAAACCTATACCACATCCAAGAAGTGTCTCACCAAAACAATGAAACATTTGATCCTGCTTTAAGACTGCTTATCTGGCAGTGTCATCCCCAAAATCAGTGATTTGCATGTGGCAAATCAAATTCAGGAGGCTGGCCAGGAGTTGTCCCTGCCCTGGTGTACGGAGCAGCCGCATAAACAGCCCTGCGACACCGCCTCTCGCTTTAGAACCCGTGGTCTCTGTAATGAGTGGAGTCACCTATGCGAGTGGAGTTTGTGACAGGTGCACTTGCAGCTGGGGTGCACAGGAAGGACCCTGTTTCCTGGATCAAACCACAGAGTGCAAATATTGTGCCCTAAATAACACACCAGTTACTGTAAATGTCAGAAGAAGACGGTTTTCCGACTTTGATTTAATGAAAGCCCGCAGCCAAGCCAGCTGTTAGCGCTTCTTCACCGCTTGTCAGAGTGACCACAGGAGCCGGGGAAGGGCCCTCGACATCTTTGTCTTTAAACTAGAGCTTTCAATAGGTGTAGCGGGGTGTGGGGGGCTCTGAGAATGCCTTGCTGTTCGGTGGCTTTTAGGTGGTGAATTGCTCCAAGTTCCGCAGTTACCTGGATCTGGGGTTACACGAAGAGGTTCACGCAAAATGAGTTTGGTGCTTGCATGTTGAACCCTGTCGCCTGCAAAATCAGCAGTCGTGTTTTCTGGACTTACAGAAGGCACGTAGAAGGCCGAGCCTCGCTCTGTCACTCGGGGTATTACCGAACGCATTGTACGCCATATGTGTTTTGATTGATGTCATCTGCTTTTCCTGAACAATGAAACCACTTGAAGCCAGTATGTGGGGAGGAAAATATGCGGCCTTGTTTCTGTAATTCTGGTCGTTTCTAGAACGCATTAGTAAACACATGTGGACGTGAAGGGTCTCCCTGCCCTCGGAAATCCCTTTGACATTACGCTGTGAGACCCGGGAGGGGGTAATCTTTCAAACGTAGGGAAAGTTTACAGTCCTATTATCTGGAGGAGGGGAAGAAAGTTTCTTCCTCAAATGATTTATAACTTGAACCACGTTGTCATGTTTTGGTAAGCCTGCTTTATTAATTCCATCCTTCTCTGTGGCAGATTTAAGAAAATCAATGTACCATTGCAACATAGTGCTTTCTCAATAGCATATTGTCCTGATAACAGCATGATGGAAGTGGCTGGGCTTGATGCAGTCGCAGAACGTGGGGCCAGGTTTGGAGTCAAACCTCTAATTGAATTACCTGCAAAGCCCCGACAGGCAGGCTTTAGGACAGACGAAGCTCCGCTTTCCGCCTCTCCCTGAGGTCACGTTCAAGTCGGCCTTGCACACTGTCTGCTATTGGCTTGTGCCAGCACCTTCTCCTTGGGTCTCTGGCGGGCCCCTTTGCCTGCAGTGTGCAGGAAGAGCAGCTCTGTGAAAGCCACAGGGCTCAGGCATTATCCTCTCGATTTAGGGAAAATTGATAACAGAGCAAGTTCAATGGAAGAGCCTTTGAAATAAAAATCCAAAGTATTTCTTCGCAGATTATCCACATTCTTGCATGAGTCCTTCTTTATTGTGTTGAAAAGAAAAGGTACCGGCCTAGAAGGCCCAGGGTCTTTCCAAAGGTTCATGGAAAATACTTTTCATGAAAAAAACCATGCGTGGATCTCAACATTTTTTTGCACCAAAATAAACTTAATTTAGTCCCCTTTGCAGTGAACTTGTGCGAATCCCTCCACCACAACCCCCCATCCCCAGGCCTTTTTAGCATAGTTAGACTCAGCTGAAGGATCTTGTTTCTGAGTGCCTGAAATGAGCGAGTTTGTTTCCTCTTGTTTAGGAAAGAATGTATTGTAAAGCACTTGTGTGTGCAAATAATGAAAAGTAACCTCTTGTTGTTTTCTTCTTCCTCTCTTGCCCCCTCTGTCTTATCCACAGCCTCTGCCATCCCAGATAATGGAAGAAGGTCCTGTCTAAAGCTCAGAGTGTTTGTGAGACCAACAAGTAAGTTCCCCAGAATGAGCTTCCCAAGGGTGGCTTTAGCACGCATGCTTTATCCTGTGGTCTGGTCCACAGCGGTAAAACTTTGTTACCGTTAGATCTTGTGTGGTATCTGTTTTGTATATCCACATCCATGTTTTAGTTTTCATATTTTTTCTCATCATTCTTCATGATGCTTTTTATTTGAGTACACACACAGCAGTTGCTAACTTGTTGTTTCTTAGACTGTTGTACATGCACAGCAAATGGGAACAATATTGGCATTTGGATACATGCCACTGATTGTAAAACAGTCTCTACATGAATAAAAGGAAAAAAAAACATAGAGAGAAAGAAAAAAAAGAAAGCAATGGGAGTTTAAGGGTGTCTTCACTAACATATTTGGCTGTTATCTCTATTTTTGTTATAGATAGCTGTATGAAAACTATAGGTGTTCATGATCGTGTTTTCGATGTTAACGACAAAGTAGAAAATTCATTAGAACCAGCAGGTTAGTATGCTTAGAGAATCTCTTTTAACAAAATGCATCTATCTCTCTGGTGCTTCGGTACTTTTTTTCCTTTCTTCCTCTGCATGTTTGCACGTAGAGTTCTCCTGCTTTTGCTCATTGCTAGTGGTGCTAATGTTACTTATATTCTACCTCATTCCTCCAAGTATCTTCGTGAAATGCATGTTAGATAAGATGTGGCTTTTCTTTTTTGGACATGGGTTTCACATAACGCAGTATCCTAATATAGAAGCCCCATCAGAATGCTAAACTCTCACTGCCTCTTATCGTGTCCTCAGAGCATGCTGGTGAATCGCTGAATATTAAAGGATCTATTTTCATGTAAGACAGAAGACATTTCTGCCGAATCTGTTTATAAAAACTTTCTTTTTATCAGGTCCAAATCTGTGGATAAGAATAGTAAGACGCAGTTAGTTCAACATTCTTAGTTTTCTCTGGACATTCCCACGTATCACTGAGCTGAGCTCAAGAGCTTCATTCTGTGCCAGTCGACCTGTGCTGGTGCCATCCACAGCGCGGGGTCTGCAGAAGCACCAACCTGTTGCGGAGGCTGCAAATGCGCGCACTTGCTGAGCCCTCGCAGGTCCCAGGATTCTGTGGGGCCACCTGTGGTGCTTGCAGATAAGACAGATCCTGTTTTAAGGCTGTATTTTTTTCTCCCACTGACTTCTACAGAACCAGACTTCCTTACCACTAGGAAGGAAAGTAAAAAGCCAGAAAAGCAACCATCAGCACATTGACAACGTAGCATACTTTGGATGATGGGAACCTATAAGCTAGTCCTTGCATTTTAAATTCAGTCTGGCCACTCAGTGCCTCCAGATGGATTGTGAGAGGCAGTGGCCCCATCTCCGCTGCTCCTTATGGGGTTTCCTTGGAACCCCCTGAGCACTCCCCCAAGTAGGAGGTCTTCTCCTTGTTCCACCTGATCTTCTCTGGTGTCCTTGCCCCGCTGCCCTGACCATCCCAAACCTTACAGGAAATAAAATTATTTCCTCATCAGAAAGAGATTGGAGCCCCTTAGGGAAATGGAGTTTTGTTTTTTGTCTTTTTTGTTTTTAGAGTGAGACGTCTCTTTCTGTGGTCCTAGAAATGAAAGGGTTTGAAGGTGCACTTCGTCCTCTGAGTATTGTTACCAGGACAACGCAGTCAGTGAACCTCAGGGAGACGTACGATAGCACTCACGTTGTAACTGGCAGGGAGAGTTTGGGGCTCTCCTCCCCACACCCCAGCATTCTGTTTCTGGAAGGCAGGCATCTCACCCAGAGGACAGACCCAAGCTGCACACGTAAGCACCCAGAGGCCCCTTTAGCTCTGTGGGGGACTGAGAGCCATCTTGGAAAGCGGCGAGGAGTGAGTGCCGGCACGGAGACAGTTTAATTGTGTCCTGGAGATCTGGAAGCATTACTGGGACTTTTCTAGGCGCCAGGCTCCCCCCCCCCCCCCCCAGCGTGAGGACTTGGGCCACCACAGGATCTACAAGCTAGAGGGCATCCCTTGTAAACACCAGCGTCTCCACTCTCCCTTCGTAACTGGGGAGGCTTACCCAGGCCACACAGCTAGCTAGATACATGCAGGCTTCCTCTTCAGATCTCTTGCCTCCCAGGCCAACACTGGGACAAAAATAGATTCTCTCCATGGCGAGAGGTGTGCATGTTCATAAAGAACACTTAATTCTCTCGGCTTTGTTAATAAGCCCCAAGTAGAAGGACTGGCAGAGTCAGGCTTGTCCCAAACAGTGCTTGCCCAGGATTACGATTGCTCATGCAAACTGTGAAGAACAAAAGCACTCTTTTCCCATGGTCTTTTTCCCAGGTAAACGCCATGGCCCATCTAGAGAGTGAGCGACTGTTTGGAAAACAGCAGGTTGTGTGTTTTTCTCTAATAATGAAGAAACACACAGAGCGCCACTCCGCTGTTAGAATTGCCTTTGGATTCCACTCATGATAAAAAAAGCATGCTAAAAGCTGCTTTCATACACGAGCAAATTCCCCTGTCTTTCAGGAAGCAAGCTGTTTGTCACTCAACGTTTAAAACTTACCGTGGCCCCAAACCTGTGGACGTGCACGCACACTGCAGAAAATCCATGGAAAGTAGAATTGGAAGATGGCTTTATTTGGGAGCAAAAAAGTTTGCAATTCATGCATACATGGCTCTTCAAAAAGTTTATGGAAAATGCATATTATGGAAAAGCTCTGCATGGATTTTAAAATTTTTTGGCACTGCAGTGAACTTTGTCTTTGAATTCCATTTTTCTGTGAACTTTCTGCAGTACCTTAGAATGACTGATGGAAGTTTGCAAAAGTTTGGCGCAATGCAATTAGAATGTGTGTGTGTGTGTGTGTGTGTGTGTAGGGGAGCGGATTGTGGGGGTTTCGCAGGGAAAGCTCCATGTGTGTGTCGTGGCTTGCGGCTGAGCATCCACATTAAAATGGGGCGACAAGGTGGGGCCACATCTCCTGGCAATAGGGAGACAGCCACAGATCCGGGCACTTCCCCCCATTCCAAAGAAAGTCCCATGGGACCCGCAGCTTTTCTCCACTGCATTGAAGAACGGATGAATAGGCACCTCTCCCGGCTCTGGATCGGAGACCCAGGCTTTGTGAATCCAGCAGGCCTGCGAGGATTCCCTGCATGTTCTCGGCAATGTGTACTAATTCACCTGTCTTTGGAATGTATTTGTCCTTTTTGTTTGCTTGCACACTCTGCCTGCCAGTTTCCTATCATCAGGGATGCAGGATGATCTCAGGGCAGACATATGCCACCTAACATGCTCCAAGAGATTGCCAGTGTTCTTCCAGTTAACCAGTGCAACCCCCGTGCAGAGGAGGAATCCTGTAGCCAGGAGACAGACTCCATTTGGCTTCGGAAGAGGAACATTTTTTTTCTTCCAAGCCATGTTCACTGTTGCAAGTGTTGGAAACACTCTTGGATGTAGGTGTTATTTCTGTAAGGATAGATTGTGCTTGTAAATTCCTCCTTAGAATTTTGAGACTGCTCAGCTTTACCCAGATGACAGTTTCTCATTTCACTCTCAGGGGCCATAGACTCTCCCGACAGTGAGGCCCGTGTTCATCAAAGGATGCTTTCTGGAATCCTGATTGAGGAGCAAGTGTAGCCGGAAGGAGAAGCAAATCTCTGTGCCCTAATGGCTTGGGTTTTCTCCTATGGGGCCAAGACATGGGTTGCTTAGACGTTTGGGGGCAGGTGCATCGGTTGCTTCTAAAAGGACTAATTCCAGAGAGCGTCAGTGAAGATGTCTGTGTTTCATTTAGCTGGAAAGAAGAGCCTTCCTTTCAGGGATCCTGCAGAGTTCATCCACCGTATCTTGTGTTGAGTGGAGCCGGAGAACAAGCTGAGCACCCGGGAGGGGCTGGGGTCCATGAACAGGTCTCCTCCATGCTCATCCATACAACCTACCAGTAGCCTTGGGAGGAGATGGATTAGGTGCTATGTTAGTCAATCAAATAGAGACGAACTAATCACAGATGCCGTTTCAGGTGTATAAATATGAGCAACGTCTGAGAACGAGCTCTGGGATCCTCAGGGTTCACAGTTCTTTCACAATGAAGGCTGTCGTGCTGTGTTGATTTGATTGACACCAAATGGGCTCTCTTAAGAAAGTGATTCGGATTGTTAACTTCAGGACGATCAGGGGCCTTTACTCTGTTCCTGTTAACTGCAGCTTTCATTAATACGTTTGCCAGGCTGAAAGGAGCAGAGGAAAGAGAACGGGAAGTGTGGACCACGTCAGGCAGGCCTGGCCCATTTTCCTCTGCACCCATTCGTCTTCCGATTCTTGCTTTCCTAACCTTGAGCCCAAAGCCCTCCATGCAGGTTTACTAAGGCCCGAGGAGGAGGAGCAAGCACATGTGAGCCCAGAGGACTCCACACTGCGAAGTTGTCCCTCTTAGTTCATGCTGGGCCTGGAGCCCGTGGACAGACACATCCCAGGCAAACTTGTCTTAAGCCGGGCCAGCCTGTGAGCTTGAAAAGTGCTTACTTTAGCATGAACCATGGGGAGTGTGACTCTACCCAGTGGCAAGAAACCATCCTTGTTGTGCCGTGTTGTTTGGGTGGAAAACATCAGCGAGGTTAAAATAATGGATAGTTACTCCAGGAAGGGGATCAGGGTGGGTCACTCAGGTTGTTTTAGGGATGACTCCTCGAGGTCTGTGAGATTGAAAACCGCCGTCGCTGGTTACCCATTCACTATCGAGTGGATGGTGATCACGGGGCTCCTTCAGGATGCTCTCGTGATGCCCAATTACCTCTGAACAGAGGGCCACTGGTAGCGCCCAGGACACGGCATTTAGATAGCACCTGGACTCCCAGCACAAGCAAAGCCAGGCGGAGGAAGAGGCCAGCCAACACTGAGCAGAGCATGGCTCCTAGGCTGGCCCGCGGTCTGTTTTGGGGAACTAATTACCTCAGAGTTCCCGTTTGGAAGCGAAGCGTGTTTATCATGCAGATCAGTGAGGCTATCCCGAGTCAGAGGCAGCCTCCTAGAACACTTTAGAGCTAAATAAAAGAAGCTTAACTCACTTAATCCATTTTATTTAGAGGAAAATTTGCATCCATGCTGATAATTTAAATGCCAAGCTTCAGCCCCGATAAAAACAAAAATCGTCAAGTTCAAGTAATTTAATCCCGGAGATACAGGGCTTGTTGTGGAAAATAGCACCATAATTGATTCCTAATTGTAGGCAAACCAGTGGGCACCGGCTTATTGAAGTTTACTGGGCATTGTGTGTCTTTTATTTGAAACGCTGTCGTTTTTGGCATTTAATTTTTCGTGTTTGAAAACCCATCTAGGCACCCAACAACCCACATTCAGCATGGCCTAAACAAGGGCAGTACACAAGCCAGTTCTGCTTCACCACCAGTGGGGCAGCATCATTGCCTCCTCCTGACTGACACCCTAGGGTTTGAAGGTGCGGTCTGGCACGCCAGTGCGTGCACGGAGCACCTAACTGCTAGCAAACCAAAGCAGCTCACGTGCCAGAAGTTAGCACGCTGGGTGATTTCCTCTCCCCCGGCTCCCCGCCCCACGCCACTCTTAAGGGAAGGATGATTATTGGCGAAAAAGCCCGATCTTCTCGGCCCCTCCTCTGTTTGCTGTAAATATGAGCAATTATGCAGACATGAAAGTCAATGGTGGCACAAGGTTCATTACCCTCCTTTGTAGCAGGCTGCCGCGATCGCGTTATTAAGGATGTAAAGTCTCACTGGAATGTGTGCTTTCTGTTTGAACAGATGACACCGTACATGAGTCAGCCGAGCCATCCCGCGGAGAGAACGCGGCCCAGACACCAAGGATACCCAGCCGCCTTTTGGCAATCCTGCTGTTCCTCCTGGCGATGCTTTTGACATTATAGCACAGTCTCCTCCCGTCGCCTGTCACAGAGAACGCCGGGGTCTTGGAACACCAGAGACCCACTTAACTGCTCATCCTAAGAAGGGACTTGTTATTGGTTTTTGGCAGATGTCAGATTTTTTTGTTTTCTTTCCTTCCGCCTGAATTCTAAGCAACACCTTGGGGCCGGGCAGGGGGTGAATCTCGTTGCTGCCTCCCTCACCCGACCCCAGCCCTTACCCTCGTCTCTCTCTCTCTCTCTCTCTCCCCCTCCAAATTAAATGGACTCCAGGCGAAAATGCCAAATGGCCGTAGGGACACGGGTGGTTCGTCAGCCCCGTGCATTTTCCTGTAAAAGCGCACCTCCGTTGTTAGCGCACTGGGCAGCGGGCTCTGGACGAGGAAGTCATAGTAGCAGGTGCAGCCCGCGAGGACTCTGCTATACAATATTTATGCCTTCTCTTTCGGGACTGTGAGACGATTGTGAGGGCATCAAGTCACCGTGTCAGGCCCAGAGGGGAGGTATTCAGAATAGATAGAAAATTACACCATTTCCTCCAGGAGTCTATAAATGAACAGGCTTCTAAAAGGTTGAGACACTGGGTTTCGTTTCATTTTTGTTTTTGTTTTTAATATGACTGTCTTCAAGCATTCTTGACAGCTAAACTCGTGCTCTGTAAAAGAAGCCCTTTTGTGCGGGAGGTGGGCTGCAGGCAGGAATGCCAACCCAGAATAAGTGAGAAAAATGACCCGTTGGGTGGGGCTGTGTACGGATGAGTGCCTCGAATTTTTTTGGTGATTGGGCAATGCACACCAGATTTGGTTTCTTCGAATACAGATCACCATGGTGCTACAACTTTTCTTTTCTTTTCTTTTTTAGAAACTCAAAGAGGCATTTTTATGAATAAAGTGACCTTCCCCAAGGCTGACAAGCCAGGGTTGATGAGTTCAGAGTGGAATAGCTTCGGCTGCTCCTCTGGGGGGTGGTATGTACCAAGGAAAGGGCATCGGTGGCCAGAGGAGGTGCTGGTTGGCTTTGCTGGAGCGCCAGTGTGCTGTGGCCTTTCCCCGCCTCCCACCCCAGTGCCCACAGTTTGCTCCCTACTCCACAAATGCAGGGGCTGGGACCCCAACCCCCTGCCCTCAGGAGAGCCAGCCAGCACTACTTGGGAGGGCCAAAGGGAAATTTGGAATAAAAATTCCAAAGTTTGGAATAAAAGCAGTTCACGTGTTGATTTTATATTCTTTCCCTTTCTGACACAGCCTAAAGCGTAGGGGGAAACATATGTTTATCTGTGGGAGATAAACAAGATGGAGTCCCAAAGACTTTAACAAAATATTTTTTTAAAAATCCACTAGAATAGAAAATACATTATTTAGATATACTTTATGCTGAGAGTGAGTATATATGCTTGTCCTATTTAAACTTGTGAGAAAAAGTGGTATCCCCTGGTACATTTAGAAATATGGGGGTTATCTTGTTTCATTGTGGGGGTGGGGCAGAAGGAGGGTAAATGCAGGATGACCCTGTTGAACGAATCTTAGCATGGCCAACAGGGGGTGTTTCCAGTGCATTAACAGGAACTGCAAGCCTTAGGGTTTCCACTGGTGGGGCTGTCATGAACTTCAAACTCCAAAGCCTAGGCAGGGAGAAGCGTTCAGAGTGATGGGAAAGCAACCTAGCCTTTTTTTTTTTCCACGATTGCAAGACATGTCAGTAGATACCATGCCTTTCAGAATTTAAAAAAGACAGATCGATAAATGCAATGATCATGTGAAATGTGAAAAATTGAAAGCATTCCAGCAAAATAAGGATTTTTTAATATATTTTTTTTAAAGATGTGTATGTAAAAAAAAAAAAAGACGGGGTTGTGTTATGGGCAAACTTCATGAATGGGAATTGATGTAGAGTTGTGAGTAGTTCCAACCTAGAAAACTATGTGAATGAAAGGCAGCTGTAGACATCCTGCACCCTGAAGAGGTGTACGTGTGCTGTCATCTGAGCTTACCTGGTCCGCTTGGAGTGGATGTTACTGCTGAGTATGTTCTCACTTGGAGCCATGTGCGTGGGGTTGCCAGCCCCACAGACACAACGGATCATCCTCCCCTGGCACTGGGGACTTCTCCACAGTGGCAGAGTCTTACCACAGAAAGTAGCCACCATTTCATGGAAGCGAAGGTTCACAGCATTCGGTTCCTTTTTCCTTTAACTCTTTATATGCTCCGAACTCTCAGTAATATCCAGAAACACTTCTTTTTATGAATAGTTACAGGCTTGTTGGTCCAGTGGGAGCTGGGTAGGGGGACAGAACCTTCTAAAGTGGATCCATAGTCAGAACCAGAATACTACTGCATGTTCTATAACCACAAGGAAATCAAACGCTCCTGTAATGATTCCAGTTAGTCATAACTACATTAGCAGTGTTAATTTCATTTTAGAAATGGTGACTTCTGTGGTTTCCCTAGCATTTGTCTCTAACAAATGATGAAATAATTGCTCATGGCCCTCTCTGCCATTGTCTCTCATTTTTTCACAACAAAATTAGATCCCTTTACTTCACTATTGTGCCACTACAAATTACATAAAAAAAAGACAAAAAAATAGCAAGACTATCCACGCCAGTAGACAGTATGCTTCTCTAACCTATAGGTGATGTAATCATAGCTAATACACTTGTCATGGAGTTTTCAAGATGGTGGGTGTTAGATAGTTTTCATCTTGTCCAATACGCGCTGGTGGCCTTTTGTGTGGTCCTAATCCCCTGGGTGCTTAGGAGGATGTAGATGCAACTTTGTAGCAGCTTTGAAGTTCAACAACAATCCACAAATCTGAGGGACAACCAGAGCTGCAGCCCCCTCAGCCCAGGTTAGTCAAACCCCAGCGACCTTTGCCCCTGGTTGCCAAGGGCTTTGCGACATGCAGCAAGAAATAAGGATCTGTCTGTTTAGTGGATACCGTGTATCCTTTAATAGACCAGGTAACAGTTTGTGTTAGTTTAGACTATTGTTTTGTACTGTACTTTCTTGGGTGGCAGAGGAAAGAAAAGTAAAACATTTGAAAAAAAAAAAAAAAAACCTGCGTTCTTTAAATTCTGTATTATTAGCAACCTCTGTTGTATATAGTGTTTGATAATAAAGTATTAATTTGATTCTTATGTCTTTTGTAAGTGAGAACAATAGACTTTCAGGATACAAAACATGCATTGAGGCTTTGAAACATCCTGTGTGTCTGTGACCAAGAAAAAGAGTCACCAGTGCCTGTGACACTGCTCCATACGGGACTCACACAGCAGTCATCGCCCGCCCTACCTTAAGATTGCATCATCTGGGGACCTGGAACACATGACTTTTGTGACCAATCTTTTGTCCTTGATGTTTCCCAGGTCTGATGTTAGAGCCCTGCGGTCCCCAGCCGCCACCAGCATGTTGGTTTGAAAAGGGTTAGGGACGTGAGTAGCGGTTCTGTACTTTGGTTTCCTATTTGTGGTTGTTTTCCTGGACTGTCCCATTCCACCCCTGCCCCAGGAAGAGTCTTGTCAGTGTCGTGGGCAACTCACACCTGGGAGTGGTTGCGAACCCGTCCACTGAGGAAGGTTCATTGGGGGCTGTCTCCCTCTCTGTCGTTGTGAAAGGAAGGTCACTCAGTACCTGTGGATTGTCAGGGGACTCTGTTTTTTAATCCGGTGCCTTAGCAACGGCAGCAGCCATTTTTATTAGTTTCAAAAAATTAGACAAGCAGTCTTCAACGCCTCCCTTCCATTCATGCTCTCAGAGATGTGGTTGCTAGCATTTCTTTTGAAACCACCTCCACCACCACCCCCGTTTGCCTACACTCCGCCCCTTTACCTTTTAAGTTGACTGTTATTATTATTTTGTTGTTGTTGTTCTCTTGCCTTCCTCTCTACATTTTATTTTCCCTCAGAGCCGTGAATGGGCAGGTCTATCTCTGGCTTGGCATCACTGAGTTTTTCCCATGCATTTGCCCCAGAGCTGCTCGGATGTGAGACAAATCTCCCTGCAATGGGCTTGCTCCTCGCTCCCATTGTCTGTACAGTTTAATAGATGCTGGCATGTTGGAGGTTACCCATGAGTCAAGATCCGCTTTCCATGCTTACTCTTGACACGCCATTGAAGCCACTCATTGTGTGTGTGTCTGGGTGTGCAGTCCAGCTCCGTGTGGTCCTGTGCTTGTACTGCCCTGCTTGGCAGCTCCCGCCCACTTCCTCATCCAGTGCTGTTTTGAAATGCTGACATTATATAAACGTAAAAGAAAATGTAAAAAAAAAAAAAAACCCACACACGAGGAAACCCATACGATCTGTATTTGTATATACACGTGTCCGTACAATTATACCTAAATAAAAATTAAAGATTTTCATCATTTTAATTGGAGCCCTCATTCTACTTCTTTGTTCCTTGAATGACGCCTTTATTTCAGGGGCTACTTGCAGTCTGCTGATTTTTCAAAATCTTTGTGGACAGAAAAGATAATACGGCAAGCACAAGAGAAGGCCTGGGAAGCTCAAAGAATGCAGGGTTAAAAATGGGCCGGGTATCGTAAGCACAAACCAGTTATTCTTATGAGAGAATAGGGCGATTTCAGCCTTGGCCCTGTATTTCAGCCTTAAGAGAGGCGCCACGACAAGCCCTGCATCCTAAAACAACCTAAATGCACCAAGAGCTAAAAACAAAGTATATTCTTGGACTTTGCACATATTTTTTACACCCCATCAGGAAAAAGAGCAGATGAGCCTTTTCCCCAGCGAGCACCTGACACTTAAAAAGGAAACACAGAGATACTAACGGTCACTCGTTCTCACTTCTAAGGAAGTCTCGATTTACCTCTGTGTGACCTGGAGCAAGTCACACAATGTCTCTGGGACTCAGTCTCCTTAACCGTAAATAACGATTGCACAGTGATTTGTTTGATTTTCTGAATTCTCCCCTTGTTGGGCACTGGATAGCCCATTGTGCATCTGCGTGATGTTTTTGTCTTTGATGATGACATTGCTATAAGCACAATTTGAGAATTTTGTCTATAGAGGGAAAAAGCAGCCGATATGTGGCATAATAGACACCTAATGCATTTCAAGACTTGGCTTTAATTACACCATGTTAACATTAAACTCATTGAAAGCTTTTTATTATGCTTAATTATTTGACAGGCCACTAAACACTAATTATAACTTACTGTAACCTTTCTTTGCTAATGAAGAATGGCAGCTTTATAGAATGAGGAACAACTCACATTAAAAAAAAAATGTGCTGGACCAGCCCTGTGACATTCTAACCAGAACAGCATTACATTATCATTGCCATTTTCACCATCATCATCCAAAGCATTTTAAGTGATCATGACGTCATGCTGAACGCTGTGCAGAGCAAAGCTGGTTGTATACAGCCTGTACTTTCCAAGTTTCCAACACGAGGCAGACATGCCGTGTAAGCGTTACAAGGTGAAGAGTTGTGGAGCAAAGTACAAAACTCGAACATGTATACTATGCAGAAAATAGGGGAGACATTTTTAAGAAAACAAAAGGGGGAAAAGTGTGGGATTTTAAAATCAGGAGGCTTTAGTTAAAGTATCTTTAAAAATAGTCAAAAGGGGGATCAGGGACCTCAAGAAATAGGAAACTTGATGAGTTAAAAACCATTATAGAGGACCAGAGCTGTGACACAGCAGGTTAAAGCCCCCGCCTGCAGCACTGCATCCCATATGGGAACTGGTTCGAGTCCTGGCTGCTCCACTTCCAATCCAGCTTCCTGCTAATACTCAGGGATACCAGCAGAGGATGGCCCAAGTGCTTGGGCCCCTGAACCCACATGAGTGACCTGGAAGAAGCTTCAGGCTCCTGGCTTGGGATTGGCTCAACTATAACCATTGCAGCCATTTAGGGAGTGAACCAGTGGATGGAAGACTCTCTCTCTCTCTCCCCCTCTCTCTCTCTAATAAATAAATAAATAAAACTTTAAAAAAATCATCGTAGTTTTTTAAAGAGTGATGAACTTGTGGAGTCAGTGTTCACAGTGGTTACAGAGGTGACCAAAAACGAGAAAACCCAAGACAACATGGGAACATCCCTGAAACAACTTTGAAGATACAGGCCCAGCGAAATGAGCATCTATCTCTTCACCTAAGGAAGTAGGGGAAATGATGACCATTTCCAATTCTGCTCAATGGAATCAGCAGATGGCTGCTCCTGAAGCTGAGGCCCAGGTGTGAAAGTGAAGGCTAAGCACAGCTTAGGGAAATGGGAGAAAGTGCAGAACAGGCAAACATGGAGGCTGAGATGATTTGGAAGTGGCCGTGTGTCCCTGTGTAGCAGGGCAGCTCTTGGTAGACAGTGTTGCACGCTCTGTTGGCGGACACCAGCATGGGGCCATCGGCAGTGTTTCGTGAGCCACGTGTACTGGGTAACAAAGCCTTGTGATGCCTGAGTCTTCCGAGGTGTTGCATAAAAAGCACTGGGAAAATATTGGAGTCCAGATTTCCATACATTTGGGGAATAAAACACACATGGATGTGTTTGAATCACTTACAGGAATGTCAGGTGTAACCCTGGTGTCATTTTTAACAGTTCAAGGTAATTCTAATGAATTTTTCATTGACCATTCTAACAGTTTCTTAGGATCGGTTTGCAAAACAGTTTCTCTGGGATTGTTTTTGCAAAAGTTAGTTTCGTATTCTGCTGATAACATAACCATCTTTCGGGAAAGCATTGGCCAAAATGCTGTGAAAAGCATTATGGTTTTTGGAGAGTCCCTTTGGAAAACAAATACTCCTGAAAATCATTATAAAGAATGAGTCAGGGGGAATGGCGTTGCGGTGCTGCAGGTTTAAGTCACCGCTTTGGGACACCTGTGTCCCCTGTTGGACTGCTTGGCCTCAAGTCCTGCCTCAGCTTCCAACTAATGCATCTGGGAGACAGCAGGTGATGACTCAAGTATTTGAGTCCTGCCACCCACATAGGAGACCTGGATAGAATCTGTAGCTCCTGGCTTCAGCCTGGCCCAGCCCTGTTGTGAGCATTTGGGGAGTGACCCAGAGTATGGAAAATGTCTCTCTCGTCTCTTTCTTTCTCCCTGTGTGTGTGTGTGTGAGAGAGAGAGAGAGAGAGAGATAGAGAGAGAGAGAGACTCTGCCTTTCATATAAACAAAAATGAATAGATGTTTTTAAAAAGGAGATAGGTACAATTATTGAAAAATAATTAAGCCAATTTTCTCCATCAGTTTGTAGTTTGATGCCTTCTGCTTTATGGCATACATTGTTAAATATAAAGGATCTTTTAAAAGTACCTGGAAAATGTGTGCTATGAAACAACTTTGCATAGATTTCAAAAATCTTTGCACCAAAATAAACATGTCTTCATTCCATTTTCTATGAATTGTTTGAAGTACCCATGTGAGTATACGAGTCTATTTTTTAAATGCCGTTACAATGGCTGGACCGTGTGAGCAGTGAATTTGCATCAGTAATGAATGCATCTTTTTGAATGCTCGTGCAGGTGATAAATGCATGAGTTTTAAAAAAAAAAGGGACATGAAATTGTATTGCCCAATGCATCAGTCAGAGGTATCACCACATGCTTATTTGATTTGGGGAAGAGTTGAGTAGCCAAGTAACTCTTTTCCAAAAAAAAACAGTGTCCTATTAAAAACTTGGGTGCAAATGGTACACCCAGGGAATCTCACCCCCTCCTCATTTCCAACAGAATGCAGTTCCCAAGACCATCTATGAATACACTTACATAAGATTCCCATGGGGCCAGCACTGTGCTGTAGTGGGTAAAGCTGCCGCCTGCACCGGTTCGAGTCCCTGCTGCTCCACTTCCGGTCTAGCTCTCTGCTATGGCCTGCGAAAGCAGTGGAGGATGGCCCAAGTCCTTGGGCCCCTGCACCTGAGTGGAAAACCCAGAAGAATCCTGGCTTCAGATCTGGGCAGCTCCAGCCATTGTGGCCATCCAGGGAGTGAACCAGTGGATGAAAGACCTCTCTCCCTCTACCTCTCCTTCTCTCTCTTTTTTTTTTAAATTAAAAAAAATTTTTTTTTTTTGACAGGCAGAGTGGATAGTGAGAGAGAGAGACAGAGAGAAAGGTCTTCCTTTTGCCATTGGTTCACCCTCCAATGGCCGCCACACCACGCACCACACTGATCCGAAGGCAGGAGCCAGGTGCTTCTCCTGGTCTCCCATGGGGTGCAGGGCCCAAACACCTGGGCCATCCTCCACTGCACTCCCGGGCGACAGCAGAGAGCTGGCCTGGAAGAGGGGCAACCGGGACAGAATCCAGCACCCCGACCGGGACTAGAACCCGGTGTGCTGGCGCCACAAGGCGGAGGATTAGCCTAGTGAGCCGTGGCGCCGGCCACTGCTCTACTTCTGATCCAGCTTGCTGCTAACATGCCTGGCAAAGCTGCTGAAGATGACCCAAGTGCTTGGTCCCCTACACCCACATGGGAAATCTGGAAGAAGCTCCTGGCTACTGGCTTTAGCCTTGACCATCTCAAACCTCTGCTGCCGTGTGGGGAGTGAACAAGCAGATAGAAGATCTCTCTCTCTCTCTCTTTCCCTGTCTCTCCCTCTCTCTCTGTAACTCTACCTTTTAAATAAATTAATCTTTTTTTAAAAAAGAGAAAGGATTGCAGGAATTGTTTATACCAACTAAAGTTATCTTCTAATTCCATTACTGCACCAACTTTCTGAAGAGCCCTCATCTTTGGAATGTCTGGAGAACTGGGGAGAAGGGCAGGGGACCAAGCATATCCCAACATAATGGGCTTGTCAGTACTTTCTGTCACAGACTGTCACACTTCTTTCCCGAGAGCCTCTTCAGTCTGCGCCAAGAGTAGAATAATCATCTCCCACTTTTCATGAGCGAAGACCCCTACCCCATGCTAGGGTATGGGGTATGAGCTCAGCCATCTGCCTCCCAAGGACGGCCTCAGTTGGTGTCTGTGCAGGAAGGGAGGTGAAGACAACGTCTCCCAGGTCAGCTCAACAGGCATCAGTAGCCTAATTCTTACACATGGGGTTTCCTATACTATCACACAGAGAACCCTCCCTCCATCCAAAGCCGTGTTGTAAGAGCCCTGGGAGGAAGAAGCCAGCATGGGAGCTATTGTGCAGACAGGGGCAGGCCCACCCATTTGGGGTAAAAGACTCTTGGCACTGGGGCTGTCACTCACGGGCTCATTCAGAGGAGTTCAATCTAGTGGGTGGCTCTGTGAGTCAATGACGTGCTTTGAAAACTCCTGGATTTTAGTCATGATTATTCAAGCAAGAACTTCGTGTCACTCGGTAGCACACAGATGCCTGTCAGTCGTGACAAGACCACAAAGGGAGGGTTAAAAACAATCTCCCCGAGAGACTACAATGGGAAAACAGAAC